AAAAAAAAAAAAAAAAAACAACACGCACATTTATTATCTCACGTTTTATCAATCAGGAGTCTGAGTACGGCTTAGCTCTGCCCCCTGAGTCGGAGCCTGGGAGCCTCTCACCAGGCGGCAGGCTCACCTGAAGACTCAGCTGAGATAGGACCCACTTCCAAGATCTGTGATTCTGAAGTACAGGCAACCTTGAAAATCAGGGCTTCTAGAAAGGCAGTGGAAGAAATCAGGTATCTCAGAGCAAGCGAGGAGGAGAAAATGCCTCACATCTACTGAATAGGGAGAATCTAAACCAAGAGTTAATGGTGAATTTTTTTTTGTTTTGTTACACAGAGTCTCACTTTATCACCCTCGGTAGAGTGCCGTGGCGTCACAGCTCACAGCAACCTCCAGCTCTTGGGCTTAGGTGATTCTCTTGCCTCAGCCTCCTGAGTAGCTGGGACCACAGGCACCTGCCACAATGCCCGGCTATTTTTTTTTTGCAGTCTGGCCGGGGCTGGGGTGAACTCACCACCCTCGGTATACGGGGCCCGTGCCCTGCTCACTGAGCCACAGGTGCTGCCCTTAATGGTGAATTTTTATTTATTTATTTGTTTGTTTGTTTATTTTTAAGACAGAGTCTCATTCTGTCACCCTGGGTAGAGTGCCATGGCATCATAGTTCAGAACAACCTTAAACCTTCAAGTGATCCTCTTGCCTCAGCCTCCTGAGTAGCTGGGACTACAGGTGCCCGCCACAATGTCTGGCTACTTTTAGAGATGAGGTCTCACTCTTACTCAGGTTAGTCTCGAACTCCTGAGCCCAGGCAATCTACCTGCCTCGGCTTCTCAGGGTGTTAGGATTACAGGAGTGAGCCACCGCACCTGGCCTGGTGAGTTTTTTAAAAAAGCAATACAGACAGACACACAGATATGTGCACATTTCAAATAGTGTGTGACATAGTTAAGTAATCATCTATGTCCTCATCAATGAAATAGGGAATGTGTCTTTGTGAGAAAGGAGGGGATCAGAAATGTAAAAGAGAATGAAAATGTAGTCTCTCATGCAGTGCCTGTGGCTCAGTGAGTAGGGCACCGGCCCCCTATACTGAGGGTGGAGGGTTCGAACCCAGCCCTGGCCAAACTGCAACAAAAGAAACAGCCAGGCGTTGTGGCAGGTGCCTGTAGTCCAGCTACTCAGGAGGCTGAGGTCAAAGAATCTCCTAAGCTGAAGCGTTGGAGGTTGCTGTGAGCTGTGAAGCCACTGCCTACCGAGGGCAACAAAGTGAGACTTTGTCTCTGAAAAAAAAATGTAGTCTCTCAAAATCCAACAATTCAGTTCTTGTGCACATGAAAAAATAAAACAAAATAAAGAACTCCCTGGAATAATTAGCATTTTGCTTTGTGTTTAACACTGAAGTGCATGTGTTAAAGGTGCAAATGGCTCGCAAGTTATTCTGGTTTCCTCCTTTATTTTCTAGGAATATTTTGAAAACAATTGCTCTGGGTCAGATGTTGTCCCTGTGTATATGTGGAACGGCCATCACCAGCCAGTACTTGGCAGAAAGATACAAAGTAAACACTCCCATGCTCCAGAGCTTCATCAACTATTGCTTACTGTGCCTGGTGTACACGGTGATGCTGGCATTTCAGTCAGGTATGTCCAAGGCGGGAATTACCTTTCCTCTCCTTTTAGTTTTGACGCCGAGTCAGTCTCGCTCTGTCATTTTGGGTAGAGTGCTATGGCGTCACAGCTCACAGCAACCTCAAACTCTGGGGCTCAAGTGATCCTCTTGCCTCAGCCTCTGAG